CGTGGAGAGATTCATCCATGTGTGGATTAAGTGACTGGTGAATTATCAAGGCAGTGACTTTATCATCAAAGTCACTTCCCACTGGCTTGCCTGCTCCTTCGGGCTGCCTGGTTGTCTCATCATGTCAAAACCCAGATGCAGAGCTCTCACCAGATGCCACACCATCATCTAACAGCCAATTTAGAGGAACAAAAGGAAGTTGTTAAGACCACCAGGGACGTGGAGTTTTCCTATTTTTCCTTATTAAGATAGTTTTTTATTGATTCTTTGGGAATTTCACATCATGTGCCCCAATCCCACTCATTTCCCAGTCCCTCCATATCCACTCTTCACCCTTGTAGTGTCCCCCTGTCAAAGAAAAAGCAAAAATGAAATGATAAAAACAAGATAAAAATAAAATATAAGAATATTAATTTAAAAACAAACAAAAAATAAAAGCAAACAAACAATAGCAACATTAACAAAAAAGCCCACCTCACTCCTCTATCTTCTTGCCTCTCTATTACCTCCTTGTCTTAGTGGCATTGGGAGCTGCTGTGTATCATGCAGCAGCCCTTCTGTCTAAACAGCTTAACTGTGTAATGTGTTGTTGGTCAGGTTCAAGGCCTCTGACTTCTGGTACTCCACCAATACTGGACCCTCCCTGAAACTCCTCTCAGATATCCTGCTGTTGCTGAGTCATGGGGATCCTTCGGTTATGGTTCTGCAGGACCAGTCCCTTCATGTGCTCCAGCAGGTCATAGATGGTGTAGATGACGGAGAGTGACAATTCAAAGCCCTGGATGTAGGCATGGGTGGGAGTTGAGTTGGTCTGACCCCTGAATGGGCTGCTGGGACCAACCACTCAGGTGAGGAGTAGGGCCAGTTCTCCCATGCTGGGGTCTCAGGGTTGGTGATGGGCAGGGTCAGCTCTCCTGGCTGGGTGGGACAGGCGTCTCCCCGGCCAGTGAGAGGGCAGAGTCAGCTGTGTACCTCAACACATTACCCAACATGTGGTTTAACACATGGTTCTCACGGGCCCCTGTGGCAACACAGGCAACAGACATCAACAGAGACCCCAGCTGAGGCAGGCCCATGGACACGGCCATGGTCAGCAGCAGCCTGGGCTCAGATGTCACCATGGCCCTGGGTGGCAGCACAGATCTCTCAGATGGGCTTGGACCCAGAAGTAGCATGCTTCCTGGACTCCAACATGGTCCTAGGTAGGAGCCCAGAACCTAGGAAGTCTCTTGGCTTTTGGATAGAATCATGGGATTTGTCCTTTTTTATGATTTGGATGCAAAGTGGGAGCCTGATTGAAAGAAGTTGATCACCAGGGACATGATTTTAAATATTATACGTAGTGCCTTGTCCCTCTCTGTCTCCTGTTTGCAGTCCACTGTGAGATGGGTACCCCTTCCATATGCTCCCCCTGTCATGATACATAGGGCCGAATGACCACACACAGAAGTCTCTGAAAAACCAGGACAAAAGTAATCTTTCTTCCTTTAAGTTGTCCTTTCAGGCATTTAGGTCACAGCTACATAAACCTAAGTAGCACACTTTCCATCACATTGTTCTTCAGAGTCAAAGAAAATCTAGGCAGTGTAGCCATCTTTTTCTGGTCAGTTGGAGACTCACCTAAGCTCCCCACCCTTCTGCCTGGGCCTCCATATGGCCTGCTCTGTGACTGTCCTTCCCATGTAGATGAAACTCACATTATTGTCACTCTAAGGGGATTGTCCATATATTTCTATGCTGTGATGATCTGTCATCCTCAACATCTACTTCCTAATAAAAATGAAAGAAAGTGCTTAATGGGTGCTAGTTAGGGAAGACAGCCTATAACACTGGGTGCAGAGCACTAGTAGTCAAGATATATGATGGTGCTGATGGTTACACCACATCATAAATATCTTTAGTGTTGCTCAGAACCTAGTACAATTAACTAAAAAATGGTTAAGATTCTATGGTATGCATGTTAATATATCTGGTTATGGTTTTGGTATTACTTATTGGCATAAAATACAAATAAAAATACTTAAGAATCAAGAAAAAACATTTTAGATCCCCACCCAAGTGTTCCTGCTCCATTTCGGGGTGTAGTGTTCTGACTTGATGCTGATGTTTCTGTTACATACATGTATCCCTTAAAACCAATCTTCTCATGGACTTATCTCCATCTTCTCCTTTGTAGGAACATGTACACAATGCCTGTCCTGTGATGGACACTGTGAAATGAAAATGGAGGAATCGCCCATGGAAATGGAGGAATAAAAGAGAAGGTGTGGAGCTAGCATTTTTAAGAGAACCCTAGTTAACTTAAATCGATCACTAAGACTTCTACTGTAAACACATTGTTATCTGTTATCTGGTGCTTCAGAGATTCTAACATTGTTCAGACATTTTGGGAGGCTGCTTAAATTTCTTATTAGCAGCTCAGAAATGCTCCAGAAGCCATTAGCTTACGTTAGTTTAAGGCCTCTAAATTCTTTCCTAATTACAGAGCCATTCAAAGTGGCTGGTTCAAGAGATGTACAGCTAACTTTACATTGGGAATATTTTGAGGGCAAACTAGTCCTGGGGATTATATTCCTTAATGACCTCTCTCAGTCACCCAGAAGGACTTGTCCTGGAGATTGCTGGAAAAGAGTGTTAGTTACATTGGCCAATGGGAGTCATGTTCAGTTTCCCTCTACTTCAGAACTCCCAGAGACATTCCTAGGACAAGCTGTTTGCTGTTGAGTTGTGGCAGCTTAAGACTGTAAGCCACTAAAGACAACAGGGTATATTATATATGAAAACCACCTTTCATCTGTCAAACACTTGGCAACCATGGAAAAATTATTATAGCCAATTCTCCCATGTGTGGCCTAAACTCTTGAATAAACTATTGCTTCTGAACAGAGCAACATCAAGTATTTGCCACATACTTTTTTTCCTAGATTCCCATTTGTGTTGTATACAAATCACAAAAGCAGAACAAAATATAACTGTTAAAGAGGTGGAAAACTGAGTCCCAGGTGGCAAGGCTTTCACCCAAACTCAGACCTCTTAACTCTTAACTCAGAGACATGCACTTGAAGGGTCCTCGGGGACTTTACTAATATTCGATTTCTCAGGGACATTCTGTGCTTTCCTGGGCAATATTTGATTGCTCCTCAAGAGACCAGCCAGCATTTAAGTATTGCACAGGGTGGAGGAGAAATAACTGAAATAAGAGGATTTTACTCTTGGACCCAGAGGCAAATGCATAATGCTATTCCATGAGTCAGAAAATAAAAAGTTATTTTCACATCAGTTTCTCCCAGTGAAAGTAGTTTCCAGGACTATGTTCATTCAGAGAGTACTTCCCATGTGCCAAGCCCTACTTCCAATATGTCACCTGCATCATCTCCTTTCCTCCTCGTGCTCACTTGTGAGCTGGATCTTGTCAAGTGCACTCACTACTGGAAGCAGAAACAAGGCACAGAGAGCAGCCCATGTAGCTTGAATTCAGCCGTACTTGAATCATTAATGTGTGGGTTTGGAGCAAGCACAGAGGGGGTTGCATCCTCCTGAATCCATGCAGGTGGATATCACTGTTTATTCAAAAAGCGTGTCACATCCATTCAACCTACCCAGCTTAGCTTACTTAATAAACATACTTCAAACACACATGTTATATTGAGCAAAATCATCTAGTTCAACACTCACTATTAAGTATAATATAGCACACCTGACTCATTGAATGCTAGACTGAAGGTAAAAAGCAATGGTTGTATGAGTTTGTTTTTGTGTCATTGGAAGATTGGAAATTCTTAAATATTGGGCCTGGAGCAATGGCTCGGCAGCTTAGAGCACTGGCTGCACTTCCAGAAGACCCGGGTTCGATTCCAAGCACCCATATGACAACTAGCAGTCATTTGTAACCCTAGTTCCAGAGGACTCCATGCCCACTGTGGTCTCTCCAGGCAATACATACACATGGTACAAAGACACATTCAGGAAAAACACCTCTATACATAAAATATATTTTTTAATCTTAAGTATTCTCAATATTCTTAACCACAGTTGTAGTATGTCACTATTAAGATATGTTTTATAAAAAATAAAAATCTTCCACAAACATCATTATAAAAATATCAACTTACCTTCTTAACAATATACTCATTAATTATACAGCAGAGAAGTGGGGTTTCATTTTTTTTTTTTTTTGCCAAATGCTTGTTTTATTGATTTCCTGGGTGGGGCAGGGTGGGGTGGTGGAGAGGATTAGAAAAGGTTTGTTTCCAGCTTCAAAGGACACTCACTCCCAAGCAGACCTTCATCCTTAATACGTGTGAACAGACACTATTCCTCCTGCTTTCAGGACACTTGAATTTAAGATGATGTGGACAGAATGCCTCTCTCTGAAATGCAGTGCACTCATCTGGACAGATGGGCACTCCATGGGCTCTAGTTCACAGGAGAAAGGGACTGGCACTTAAGCTTCAACAACAAATTTACAATAAAAACAACGCAACTTGTTTGACTTGTGGCAGGACTGATTACTAAGGGACCATTCAGCAATAATGGTCTTGAATATTTATAGCTAATGAAAATGCATTTAACCAAGGGACTGTTGATCCTAAGAACTGTGACATTTGTGAGTAAGGAAGGAATTCTAAGTCTGGATGTCAAATTTAGAGTAAAGTATCAGTAATTTCACAATGCAGTATCTATAAATAAAATACATGGATCAGAGAAGAGTTATATGAGTAATGTTAAAAAGAAAGTGCATATAGAACCCAGGAATACCTTTTCTGTTAGTTAATTTTGTCACTTATTCTAGTTCAGTAAAATGCTCACAAGGAAAATAACCTCTTAAGACAGAAGCCTGGTTATAACATTGCTGTTCAGAGCTTCATGATAGCAAATGCATGGATATTGATCAATTTCCCTGCTTTAGACTGATACTCATCTTGAAGCAGGTTATTTTGTAAGATGGAACATCCATTTATACCTTGAGAAGTCAAGGCAGAAAGTCCAACTACAGGTCAGAGGGTTCACGAGAGCAACTAGACAGAGGTCTGTTTGTAGTTTTTGGTGTCCAGAACCTTTTTGCCACACATGGCACAGATGCCTTTTTTGTGAGCACAGCCTTGACAGTAATGAGAACCGGGCTGGTGTACAGAACTTTTACGGATCCTGCAAGTGGAGAACTTATTCTTTCCATATGGATCAAACCTTGCTTTTCTCAAAGTCAATGCTTTGTTTTCATTCAGCTTCCTTCCACCACTTTCTGTGGTGCTCCATGTATCATTTTTCCATGTATCTGGAGTGATAACGGTGCTGATTTTCTTTTCACATTTTCGCACACCATCCTTCTACAAACTGTCCCCTCAACAGCCTAAGCGGGAGCAGCTGCCAAAAGACTGAGAAGTGAGGTTTCTTGAGAAACCTATATTCACCCTTTACAGTGTGTTTCTCTCTCTATTGTTGCCCAGCCTTAAGTCATACTAGAGCCTTTTCTTAGTAAACCCCAGCTTTTCTCTACTACATAAGTTAAAAAAGCAAAACAAAACACCTACTTAGATAAGGCACACACACCCACCCAAAAGGACAAGGAAAGAATATGATGCCTGTCCCTTTGTGTTTTGACAACATGCAGATATATCTTGGTGAGGACACAGTGGATCAGCATCCATGTTGGTTTTGAGGTTTTATGAGACAACTCAGCAATGAGCTTGTCATTGCTGAAGTGGAGACAGGTAGGCTTGTTCCTCTTTAAACTATGGCTAATTCTCTCCTCTCTGTCTGTCTAGCATCAGCTTCTGCTGTGAGTCTCAGCCCAACTGTTCTTTCCAGACTCTTGAGGTCAGGTTAGACCCAGTAGTCATAGGCAATGAAAAACAGATCGTCCACAGAGATGCTTGAGAAGGCTGAAGGTGTTGAGGGTAACTAGTCCACTATGAAATCGCCTCAAGGAGATGACTAATTCATATGCCTTTGTATTCTTGAAACCATGACACAGTCACCAGCATTGAAAAACTAAGGATGGCCTGAGCACATGGACAGGGTGTGAACAGAGGTCCCAGCTGCTTGCCGTGTCCTAGTTTGCATCTACAGAGGCATGGAGAGTCTGAGATTCTTCAACTTCTGTGTCTGCTTTTGGACACCATAGAGTGAAGAGTGTGTGATGTGAGAATCATCTGGGGTTGCCAGGTCCCCCAAGACTCAAACAGAACTGGCAAAGCCTCAATCCCACATCCTGTGGGAAGCCCACAGCCCTGCCCAAAAGTGCTGCAGACTCTGTAGAGTGACATTCCCAAGGTCCTCTCTTGCTCAAATTTCCTGTCCTGTAGATCTCCCTATCTCATCCTTAGTTCATCTCCTGCCAGTGTTTTCTTCTCTTTGTCATGTGTTAGCTTACAACCATCCAAACCTTTGCTCAGCTTCACCCAACTCACACTAGTCAATGGGCATAGGCAAGACTGTATCAAGAGGACTAGAAGCAGCTATTTGGCTTGTGATGTTTTGTTATGGCAGCTCTAATGAGCAGGTGAGTTAAGAGAAGATACACATCCTCTCCCATTGTTGCCCCAATAAATACTTCCTTGGATGACTTTCCCCTCTGTCATCCCTGGGCTGCCCACTGGAAATGTTTCCAGTGTCTCACACTTTTTTGTGTACATTGTTGATGTCTAACTACAGTATTCGTTCACTTCCCATACAAGACATTTTATCCATCTCCGAATCATACCCTGACCAAATCATATCCTGACCTACAGACCATACCGCCATCTTTATGAACCAGCATGCCCACCTAGACACACTCCTAAGAAGACGTCTGAAGTTGATTCTTAAGAAGCAATGTCGACAACCAACTCCAACAGGAACTGCATGGGTCTGGGATACAGTGGGGGAAGATTGGTAATGAGGCGAATGAATTTACTATGAAAATACTGCTCTTATCTTACATGTGATGGTCATAAGAAAGTGCTGAGCCCAACATGCTCATATTGCCTTCATGGAAACGTGATTCTGAATGAGACCTGAGGGCAGCAAATCTCCATTCTGGACACAACAACAATCTGAGAGTCAATGTATTAGCAGGCTCTCACTACACTACCTAAGTCACCACCAAAGGCCTTGTTTATTCTTTGAAGAATACCCATTTTGTGCAGTGACCCATTCCATCCATGGTGACACATTATCTCTCGTCCCAAAACTGTGTCCCAAATATGTGTGTCCCTTTAAAATTCATGTGTTGAAATCAGTCCTCAATGTAGTGGTCTTAAGAGTCGGGGCTTTGAAAGTCAACATTCCAGGTTCATGGAGCCTCAAGTAGAGCATTTGTGACTTTGATAAAAGCTACAAAAAAAAAAATCCTTCATCCCTTCAAGCATGAACACAGTAAGAAGTTAGCCATTTGTGAACTAAGGAAGCTCCCCACCTCACCCCAGACATCAAATCTGCTGGTACTTGGTTCATGAGCATCTAGAGTCCCAAAATGTGAGCCATAAACCTGTTGTTTATAATCTGCCTGCTTTGTGTTATTTTGCTACAACTAACCAAATGGACTAAGACACTGTATTAATAACTTTTCTGTTGAAATACCATGACCAACGCAACTTACAGAAGGAAGGGTTTATTTGGGCTTACGATTCCAGGAAGATGTGTCCATCACCACGAGGAGGAAGGGCAGCAAGCTGCAGGCTCAGCAGCTGGAGTAGAATGCTGAGCACTTTCTTCTTGAATCTCAAGCAGGAAGCAGACAGAGCACTGGGGATGGCACAATGTTTTTTGAAACTTCCAAACACCTCCAGTGACATACTTCCTCCAGCAAGGCCACACCTCCTAAACCTACCCAAATAGCACCACAAACCTGGGGCCAAGTGTTCATTCTCATTCAAACCATTGCTGCTACCCAGGAAATATTCTGATTCCTTGTAACCCATTTTGTTCATCGCATTTCTCCCAGGAGGTAATTGGTATATTGATAAGGGTGAATCTCTTCGATGTCCCCTTCTGTTCTCTGGTGGGTGCTTGACTATGCAGCCTCCATGCAGCTAGCCAGTGGGTGGCAGGACAGACCAGAGGAGAACCTGGGTCTCCAGTGAAATTAATGAGCAGCTGTTCATGAGGTTGTAAATGCTTAAGCTGTTCAAGCTAGTTAGGACCAGACCTTAATGTTGTTTATCATTGAAAACATTCAATATATCCAGAGCACAGGATTCCTTCTACAAAATACGGATTAGATTGGATCTGTACCTTTCCAGGAGCAGTGGGGGGTGTTTTTAGTTCTCACAATAATTAGAGGGAATATATCTTATGATGTATCAGAGTATTACCAAAATAATTATTATTGCACATTCTACAAATTCTAGAATGTTCTGCAATACAGTTCTGACAGTGAAATCTTGATTATAACATTGAATATGTCTAGAATTTAATTCCATTTGTAGTAATATACAATAGCAACCTCTTATCTGAGGTTTTAGTTTTCCATGTCTTCAATTACCCAAATTAATCACAATAGGAAAATAGTAAGTGGAAAATTCTAGAAATAAGCAATTCTTAAGTCTTGAATAATTTTATTACAATGTATTATTATAATTACTCTAAAGTTAATGTGCCTAAGGTATACAATAAACACTGTAATGGATGTGTACTGGGAAAATACAGGAAATATATACATAGGGGTGAGAACTATCCTTTGCAGATAATGAAGTGCTAGAACAAGCACCAACTGTCTCAGCATAGTCTCACTCTGTGGGCATCACAACATCTGGGAATCTTTCTTCCTTCATTGCTGGAGTGGTTCCAACACATATGCACTCTTGGAAAGCTGTTTGGCAACTGCAACGTTGCTGGATGTGCAGCAGCCCCCAGGAAGCTGTTCCCTTTAGCATTATTGCAATCCAGATGACACTACAAAACACCCGCCTGACTTCCAGTGCCTCCTGGGAAAGCACTACTGAGCAATTATAATGGATAATTATGTCAATTTTTCAAATATGTTTTCAGGGGGGGGGGCTATATCATCTATTCATTTCTTCTGTGGGATGTCTCAGGGTGTTTTCAAAAGACAGTGGTAGTGGTGATGGTCCTAAAGATGTATATGTGTAAAAACTGGTTGAATCCTATCTGAGTCACCTGATCCCATCACATTGCCTTTGCTATAGTGTGTAGGGAAGAGCTTTGGGTCTGACAAAGTTCACAGCCACTTGATTAGGTCTTTTCCCAGACCAAAAAAAAAGTCCCCCCAGTTACATCACTGTTATATGAAGAATCTTGAGGTAGTGGCTGTAAACAGGTAAGCAACTCGCCAAAGTTATGTCTGCATAGAGCGCACAAGTTGACATTTTGGGGTTTAAACTTCTATTCAACTTTGCTAGATGAGAGGTTCCATGATAGCCACAGCCTGATTTGTGAGTGAAGGATCATTCCTGTGCAAATAGACAGAGCATCCTCTTGACTTGCCAAAGATAGATTTTAAGAAATCCAAGTGTGAAATCACTTTCAATTCCCTCCATGCCATTCTCAGGTCTGAACATTCCATGCCACTTTTAGGTCTGATGCCAATTAGTTTGTAAACTCTGTTATTCCTGTATATAGTTTGCATTTAGAGACTACTGCACATTAGACTCACTGACCCTAGAGACAATTGTCTGCTTCTTTTACACCTCCACTTTTAATAGACTTATATTGGTAGCTTGAAATCAACAGTGGAGGTAGTTTAACACCACAGAAATGGGCAGATATTACATACTGGGACTTTTTACCCCTGGATAACTGGTTATGAAACATGAAGAGCACAAAAGTACCCAAATCATAGGTGACACCTCTAATTGTCTGTTCCCTAAGATGTGACCAGATTTTGAACATATATCTCTAAGGTGGCAGACTCCTGTTTCGAAAATAGCACACTAACTATATATTTCTTTGAAGACTAAGAGTCTCCCTCTCTGTGACCAGACTATATCATACAATACCCTTTTCAGGAGGAGGTAAAAGATTTCCAGAAGGTGGTGGAAAGGTGAGCCTGAATAGGTGAGTTAGAGGAAAGTGAAAATGGGAGCCATCTGTGTTGTGGAAGGAAGCATGAATGTGGTGTGTGAGTATGCGTGAATGTGAGCGTAAGTGTGTGTGAGTGTGTGTGTGAGTGTGTGAGAGTGTGTGTGTGTGTGTGTGTGTGCAGTGATGGGAGGATGTATGGTACATGTAGTGGGTGCACGTGTGTGCATGTGTGAAAGCTGGCTAGAAATCAAAGCTAACAAACTCTGGCTCCAGCTAAGAGGTCTAACACAAACGGGCCAATTTCTGGAAGTTCATTAGCACTCTCTTACTGAATGGGGCTTGGCAATGGGCTTGTTTTCCATTGGCATGAGGCATTAAGAAAGGAACTGCCAACATATGTTTTAGCCAACCAGATTGTGATCTGGTTGCCCCACCTGAATCTCTTGCCAACCCAGCCTTTGCAATTAACACCTGGAAATCTCCAGGACTGGGTGGAAAGCAGATAAAAAGGCTCAGGGTTGGGGAAAACATGTGAAGGGGCTGGACTCATAAACAGACTTCATTGGCAGCCCTGTAATGTAACTAAACCTTATATCATGAGACAGGGAAGGATGCCCTGAGCAGGAATAGCCATGGCAAGTATAGAGTCTCTAGCACCATAGGACATCCCCAGCCAATAGAATACTCCCAGAGATCTCCATGCATCTGGGGCTTTGATATAAGTGTTGAAAGTGGAAGAGTGTAAGTGTTTCTCCTACAGCCACTCTGAAGGATTCTCTGCCCTCTTCCTGTCAGTTATCTGCTGTCCCCAGCCTCCCTCAAGTACACAGTCTTCTGGCTTTCTCCATTTCACTTCAAACCCATCCTAGAGCACGGTCTCAGGTCCACAGACTCTCCCTGCTAATCTCAAACCCATGCACATTCAGTCAGAAGGGATACTGGTCAGATGCAACTGCATGGCTGGCGTGTCATTCATCAAGGCACACCAAGAAAACACACACACACACACACACACACACACAACCCAAAAAAAAAAAAAAAAAAAAAAAAATCCAAACTGTTTGTTAGGCAAGAAGACCTCAAAAATTCCATGGTAGAAATTGTGTAAGTTGTGTTTGTTTTCTAACCTTATAATACATAATTATATTATAATATGTATTACAATTTTAAGATCTATTTATTTCATGTGCGTGTCAATGCCTGTATGTATATATGTGCACCATGCGCATGCATGCCTCTAGCCTTCTGAGGACAAAAGAAGGTGTCAGATTTCCTCAAACTGGAGTTGTAGGTGTCTGTGAGCTGACCTGAACCCAGATCCTCTGCAAGAGCAGCAAGTGCTCTTAACCACTGAGTCATCTCTTCAACCCCTATCACAACTTTAAAAAAAAAAATCATCATCATAGCTTCTACAAAATAAACACATCAGTGTTTTTTTAGCATCTTTAACCAGTGCAGTAACCAATAAGGGGTTATTTGCAACTGATCAAAATAAGAGTTTAACAAGGATGAAAGAGAGCAGTGGAGGAGGAGAGGGCAGACAACGGCCATCCAGAACATGTTTGCATATTTCAAACTTGTCAAGAATTTCCCATTTTGTGTGTGTGCATGTCATTTTTATTGAATTTTTGTATCCCCAGACAAAAGCTACTTGTTACAGCAAGAACTCAACAATAGCTATTTAACTAATTTTGATTTTTTCCAAAAATATTTAGAGAAACATGTTTACAAAGAAGGATAAAATTATGGGTAGAAAACAGGTCATCGTATCAAGCAAAATA